TGGATATACAACTGATTCCGCCGCCATTTGATATCAAATATTAAAAAAAACGTTTTTCATCCGTTGTGTTGTAAAAGAACGATAGTATAATCTAGCAAAGTTTCAGTTAAATCCCTTCTGGAACTGAAAGAAAGTATCTTACGTCGATCAGCATGGAAGAGGATGGAAAAAACTGCAGAGGATGTCCGTTTTCAGAGAAATGGATTTCGCCACTCGAAGACCACCACCAGAAAACGTCTCCTTATCGACCTTACTGCAAGTGCTCATACGCCACACATATGAGCAAGCATATAAAGTCGATCAGCAAGGGGATTCTCAACAATAAGAGAGTGTGAAAAAAGCTGCCAATAATGTCCGTTTTCAGCGAAATGGACTTCGTTACTCGAAGGCCACCACCAGAAAACGAGTGAGTATCGACCTTTCTGGAAGTGCTCATATGCCACACATATGGGCAAGCATGGAAGGTCAATTAACAATGCGATTCCAAACCATGTTACACTATAATCAAGAAAATGCAGTTACCGCTGTTCTCTTCAATTACAAAAAAGGGTTACGCGGAAAAAACGATAACAAATTTGGGCAAGAAATTTAGTGCACCAATTGGGTTAAGATGAATATACTTGATGTAAATCTATGAAGCTGTGCAAAAGAGTTGTGCAGTAGCAAACTTGCCTTGAGTTGATTGAACTTTAACAGATCGCCCGTTTCAACAGCCTGATATTCCGCCAACAGCCGACGCTGAACTGAACGCAACTCACGCATTTGAGTCACTTTCTTCCGTTTTGCAGCACTTGCCTGCTCAGTGAGTTGCTCGGTTAGACTGGCTTGGTTTGACCCGCCATCTAGATCCTCTTGTGAAGCGAGGTTGATCTGAACATCTACAGTAGCAGGCATCAGAGGCAACGGCTGACGGACACCATCGTCCAACACGAGGCTTCTACCCACGCACCAGGAGCGCCTGAAGCGTTGACTGTCATCAAGCCGATAGTAACCCTGGGTTCTAGCAC